CCGTTAACCAATATGCAAATTAGCCTGCAGTACCACTACTCTACCCATATGAGCAGCAAAAAGACGTTTTTAGACCAAATATTACAGATTTGAACAAATACGCACAAACACATAACAATTAGCACAGAAACAGTTCTATATAATATTTTAGACACATTCTAGACAGTTATCAGCTAAAAAAAGTTAATTTTGGGGTAAGTTACTCTTTAAAGACACGTTTAGTTTTTGCAATTAACTCATGTTTTATTACCAATTAATAAACATTATTTATCATATGAATGTGTGATAAATATTAGACATTTTCTGTCAGAGATGCGCTCCCATGTAGGTGTCAAACTATAACTCTGGCAGTCTTGAAGTGTGAGTGACAAATGTGAGTGGGTTTAAGACATGTTGCAGACACACAACAGTGACCACCCTGAGACTCCTTTGAGAGAAAGGTTGTTGAATAAATTTGCTGAACATATTTAACCACTGCGATTGTCATGAGACATTCTACAGACTCCATTACAATTGACTTTTCCATACAGGTTTAAAATCAGGTGTTTGRTGCATTGATTTTAAGATTAAAATAAAATGAGATGGCTGTAAATGAGTGCTGCAGGCTTTGTGAGACAAATTTAATTTAATTTGGAAGCCTTGTCAACACGGACTGAATGGTTACATTCACTTCCTCCGCTGCCATTGCTTAAACTACAGACAGACTAAAATAGTGCAGAAAATCAAGGTCATCTTTCAAACGTCCTCCTTCTGTTCACTGATTGGCAGGTTGAAATTCTACTGGAGAAATCCATAACAATGGGAGAAATCCCAGATGGAGCAGAGAAGGGYGATTAGAATCCAGTGGAATTGCGCAGGAAGGCAATGGCCTGGTTAAAGTAAAATTGCATTGTGAAATTTTGTTTTATTGAAAGTGAACTCTATGATATTCTTTTAAGATGAAATGCTGGAAGGGAGGTATTTCTATCTGTTCTCTCTGCTTTAAAAAAAACCCAGAGTGCTACAGCATCATTATACTCTTGAAGGGAATTTCCATCTTTTTTTAAAAAAATGCAGAATCTTTGTCACTGCCTGGCCACACTGCATTAATTTTTCACCAAGATCTTGCATTGATGATGGTAGAGTCTGACCGCTGTGCAAAGCCTTCTCCAGCACATCCCAAAGATTCTCAATGACTCTGTGGAGTCAATCCATGTGTGAAAATGATGCTAATGCTCCCTGAACCACTCTTTCAAAATAAGAGCCCCATGAATCCTGGCATTGTCATCTTGGAATATGGCCGTGCCATCAGGGAAGAAACAATCCATTGATGGAATAACCTGGTTATTCAGTATATTCAGGTCAGCTGACCTCATTCTTTGAACACAAACTGTTGCTGGACCTAGACCTGACCAACTGCAGCAACCKCACATCAGAGACCTTAACCCAGGTGGGGATTATTTGTTTTTTGGCCAGGCAGTGTATTAATCACTTTTATCCAGTTACTTAGTTTGACTGAACTGCCACATGTTTGAGTCTGTTGGTGGTTTTATCATGGGTTTTAATTTAAATGATGCAGAAATCTTTTTGTAACCATCCTTAGTTCTGCAGCTGAGCTCTATCAACAATTTTACTGCCTCCATATTTTCCTTTAACAACAATTACTGTGAGCTGATAAGGTTTGTATATAATTTCAACATCTAATCAACAAGAAACACAATAAATGTTTCAGAATTTTTTTGTAAATAAAATGGTTTCTCTAAATGTATCTAGATTTGTTTTAACTTGATGTTTATCCCATGTAACAATTTAAGAAGAGATACCCCTAAAAACTGAAAGATGAATTGATATTTTTTTATAAACATCAAAATAYAATTAAATAAAAGTTAAAAATCACTGATTGTTTCTAATATCTGTTTATCCAGGAGGGTAAGAACTCAGACTGACTTCATGTCGACGATGTCATAGAGGTTTTTGAGGAAGTCGGAGTTCAGGTGGTTGTGCTCTCCGGTCAGGGTGTGGAAGTAAACCATCACGTACTCCTTCACTGTAATGTGATCCATCACATGGATAAAATACAACAGAGCCTGGAGACAAAAACACAAAGTAAAATAAACAGATGCTTAAAGGCCTGCAGTTTTTCTTTTGCTCACAGTTTGAGATATCTAATTTAATTTTATATTTTTACCTCAAACAAGCTGTTAAAACATTCTCGTAAAAGAAAAATCCTCACCCATTGATTGAACAAATTCAAACTGAACATGATAAAACAAGMCAACGTGTGTGCATTTGTGTTTTGTCTGTATGCACATATTAGCACACACCAAAATGAAGCCTCACACATCCAGATAGATTTGTTGCACACCTGCAGACATTCAGGAAACTTGAACAAAAATCTAATTTACTCTGAAGTGACATGTTTTTGTTACCTTTTCGAGATCAATGAGGGTCACRGGGATGTTTCGTCCAACCACAACCATCACGGTCCTGCCACACATATCCACACCTACAGACACAACATTAATGTAAAACACACAACCAGAGTTCGAGCTCACATAAAAAATAAAATTAAAAAAAATTGCCGAGACCCAAAGACCATCAACCACCAGGTGCTTCTGTACATCTCCAGGAAGATTTCCTAAAAGCCAGWGGGTAAAGTTTTTTATCTGAGTAATCTGGACCAAACAAAATATTATTTTGGATGTCTAACCTCTAAGACGTACTGACAG